TACCAATCAGAATCTTGCTGCGGTCATATCTGCAGTATCGGTTTCTAACCACTAAGCGGCGCTGTGCTCCCATCATTCCCTGCTAAGGCGTTGGCTGGTTGACCATCGGATCAGACTCAGCTTCTAGTTATCTAGATATTGCTGACAAAAATACACCAGGACGTTTCCTCTCATATAGAAAACAGTAATGTAGATCAACAACATCTAGATGGACACCTGTGCTGCTTTGGATCATATTCAGGCCAATGACCAGCAGAGAGTTTGGTGACCGGAGGAACATCTGAAAATGACCAAAGGTTTCTTTAGAAAACATCTGGACTTGATGAAAGAAATGAGGAATAAAGTTGTGAAGATCAGCAGCTCCATCTCCATCCATCAGCATCTAACAGCAGGCAGGTAGCGGGGATCATCACGCAGCGCTGCGCAGCAGAGGGATGAGGGGGGGGGGTTGACTTGAGGAGGTTGAACTTCTCAACAGCCAATCAGGAGCTGCCCTCCGACACGTTGGGAGGTTATAAATAGTGAGCGGTTCTGCGGCGAAGTACATTTAAACCGGTCTGTGAGGAGCAGGGGCGCGCGCTTCACGGTGCTACACAACCACAACAATAACACAACACCTGGAGGCCCGTTACCAAGCAACAAGCCTCCCTTTGGACATGTCGCACGTCCAGTTATCGAGCAGCGCGCTGGAGCGGCTGGCGGCCCGCAGGACCTTCCCTCTCCAGAGGCGCACCGCCGTCTGCCGCAGCCTGTTCGGCCCGGTGGATCACGACGAGCTGAGCCGGGACGTTAAAGCCAAGCTGCGGGAGATTTCCGAGCGGGACACGCAGAGGTGGAACTTTAATTTCGAGGATGACTCCCCGCTGGAAGGAAACTACGAGTGGGAGGAGATGCCCGCGGAGAGGACGGCGGCGTTTTACCGTGAGTCGGTACAGAGCGGCAGGACGCGCGTCCCGGCGACGCCCGTCAAGCAGACGCCCTCCTCGGACTCCTCGGACTCGGAGAGCCCCGCTGTCATGGAGCGCTTAGCGGTTCCGGAGAGAAGCAGCGGGGACAGCGGCTCCGGCAGCCCGCAGGAGGTGAACCAGGAGAACCGGCCGGTGACGGTGACCCCGGGGACCCGCAGACCGGCTCCATGCCTGAGGCGCAAGAGGACGACGGCTGCTGATCACAGCAATGCGCTCATCACAGGTAGTTACGGTTCCTGGAAAATACTTCATCTTTTAATTTAACATTTATTGATTATTTTTCTTTTTTTTTTTAAAGACTTCTTCGTGAAACGGAGGAAATCTGCAGACCGACTTTCCAAGACTTCCATCCAAATGGAACAAACTCCGCGGAGGAGAATCCGCTGAAGGTAAAAAACCTCATGGAACACATCTATGTTTGAATTTCTATTCAGCCCTTATATTGTTTTTATGGTTGCATGATCCACGCAGCGTGATCTGAGTGGGTGGGGGATGGGAGGGAGTGGGCTGGGGGGAAATCACAGGAGCAGCTAAGGGAGGGGGGGTGTATGATGGCGGGAAAAGGAAGGGTGACGCATCGCGCGGCTTTGCGTCACTCCTCTTGCCGTGGAAGCCGCAGCTTTTCTCCGCAGAATCTGCGCCTTTCTTTCTGCGCAAAAATCAACTCTGCTTTTCTTTCCTCCTCAGGTGCTGACTGCTCCTCCTCTACTTTTTGTTGCACTACTTCCACGCGTGTTTTTTTTTTTTTTTTTGAGGACTGACAGAGACTTTTTGTTTGAAACCACGCTGGAGGATGGAGGGATGCGCGGCGCATCGGCTGCAGCTTTGCGCCTGAGCGGAGCGGCGCATCGGCTGCAGCTTTGCGCCTGAGCGGAGCGGCGCTTCGGCTGCAGCTTTGCGCCTGAGCGGAGCGGCGCTTCGGCTGCAGCTTTGCGCCTGAGCGGAGCGGCGCATCGGCTGCAGCTCCTCCCGGGATGGAGGCTTTGGGATCGGATAGAAAGAGAGAAAGAGGCCGAGTGGATGGAAGAAGAAAAAGGAAATAAAGGGATTCAGTTTTTCAGTACAAATGTAGCATCTATTGATTTTGCATCCAGCCACTCGACAGTGTTAAATGTTTTAACATCTGTGCAATCTAGAGATAATTTCTACACTGGCTAAAGTGTACAGCTTTATAGAAGCGGTAGCATTTGTTTATTTCTGCTCTGTTTGATTTTCTGTGAAACTATATATTTTAAGTTTATTCTAACTTATAAGTTATTTATGTTTCTCTTGCCGATTTTTTAAAATTATTTTATTTCTTTTTTTATTGTGGTGTTTTGCAATCCTGTAGCCTCCCGATAGTCTTTGTTTCTGAGCCTTTATGGAGTTTTATTGTTTTCATACAAGTGACCTTTTTCTTTGTTTAATGATGGAAATAAAACATTTTCAAATGTAATGTTTGACAAAGTTTCCTTTTATTTTCTTATAATGTTTGGATCTATGTCTGTAGGTCTATAGAACCATATTCAGCTCATTTTCTTTGCATTAATGTTTTTTTTGTCATAAAGCTGCATTCTAATCAAAATGATTATCTTTAATAATTTATGACCGTTTTTAATTTGCGGACAATTATTTTCTTAGATAAAATATTCCCTAGAAATACTGCAAACAGATTGTTGAATTACTTTCTGTAAGCATTGCCGTTAGCCACAGACAAACTGTACTTTAATACCTACTTTATTTTATTTAAATGAAATATAAAGAGATTCTGATTAGTTTAAAACTTATTAAAACAAGGAAATTATGTCTTTTTTTAAATCATAATTTGGATATTTTAACTGATCATTAATATTTGCTGTAAACAGATTCTAAATGCTAACATCCTGTTTATATTAAACCATTTTTTTTAAAGTCTTGTATTAAACTCTACCTTCATTTTTAATTCTTATTCCCAATTAGGCCAGAAAGCGGTTCAGTGACGCAGTAACTGATCTGTGTGATAGATACTAATCAGCCATATTTTCTGTGTAGGAAAAAAGCTTATAATCAATAAAGAATCAGATAATAATCAAATGATCACCTTCATTTGTCTTTGCAATTAAATATTGTAGCTAAAATCACATTAACTTTAACCCTTAATGAGGTTTTACTAAACAAAGATCTTTAGAGGCTGAATTTGTCAGCATAGATCTTGAAACATTACCTACATGATGCTGCTGTTCTATTTGCATAGATCTACTTCACACGAACCCAAAGACCCTTGCGGGGGAAAACCGCATTCAGACGCAGCTACCTCTAATGGCAGCTGCGGGATATAGGCTCAGATTTAAAGGCCTTTCGCTCCTTATAAAGAAGCAACAGCTGCCTTTGGATCCCCGCTTTGTCCGCCCCAAAGACCCCCCCCCAATACACACGTAACCCGCACTCGACAAGGCCCTCCAAAGGACCCACTCTCACACACGCACTGTGTTTACGCCGCCGTGGATCCACCGGGCGTGGAGGCCACCTGCCAGAAAGTGCAGAAAGAAAACTACTAGTCTTTGTGACGCTGCTGCTCCATTGAAACAAACCATTCAACAGGTCAGACTTGCAAGTTTACCCTTAATTGAAAGAAGCCAAACGTGGGGCCCTGTGCCCCCCCCCCACCAGCCATCCTGGGCTATATTTCATCATTTTCCAGAAGTGGTGGAGGCCTTTGAATCCTCCTGGGGAGGAAGAGGAATCTGTGGATGGAAACAGAGACTTTTTGATGCTGACTTTGTCAGCTATAAGCTGTGATGGGAGCTTGTTCTGGTTTCCAACACAAAGCCTCTCTGGCTCCATTCTTTCCTTTTTGTTGCCATATGGCAAATCCATGTAGACATAGCCAAGACCTATTCAGTCCAACCGCAGAATGTCCTGCGTCACAGAACAAAGGACACTTTGTCTGGCTCCTCCATTGATACCAATAGGCAAAGAAAAAAAATATTAGAATGAATCTATGGCTATATCCAGCTAATTAACGCCCGTATGCCTGCGGGGGGGCAGAGAGCGCATTCAGCAGCGTTTTAGATGCTCAATAGTTTACATGTTAAAGACAACAGCTGTTTATGTGTTACTTTAATGAAGTCTGCGCTGCCTTACAGACTGGACACATTCAGCCCCCCCCCACCCCACTCCTAGCCTCTAAAGGTGCTAAACAGGTCATCTCCCCCTATTTGTCCTGCAGCTGTGTAACTATATAAAATTTGTCCCAGTAAATAGAAGCTTTAAGTCGTTTGTTGAGAAGGTTTTGAATTTGAGTCGTTCTGGGAAGGTTCACAGGTTAAACAACCAGCTAAGCTCTTCTTTAAGCTGGACCCACCTGCATTTTAGGCCCATGTCTGCTTTTTAGATAAACTTAGAGCTCAGTGGGAAGATCAGTTTTTAAAAATGTTGAAACTTGGTTGTAAATGAGCCTGATTTTGGCCCATCGGAGCTTTATAACTTCATTCAGCCATTGCATGATGGGAGTTTGATGGACGTAAAGAGAAGAGTTGACAGCGAACATTCAGACCTCATTAAACAACAGATCATTACTTTACATGCAGCTGCTGATGGGGAGTCTCCTGGGCCCCGCAGGCCCCGCAGGCCCCTAGCTAACCTTTAACTAAGCATCAGCAAAATTAACATCTTTTTCCACACTTATTTAAATTATTTTTCTTATGTTAGTTAACATTTTTTCAGCAGATTATAAACATCTTTATGAAAAGAGGCAATGCACTGACACGGTTATATGTTTGACATTATAAGTGGTGAATGAATCAGATCTCCCTTCAAACTGTAAAAATAAAATAAATGACTGAAAGTTTTGAACGTTGGAAACAAATTCTAGTGAAAAACTTATTTGGCAAATATAAGAAAAAAGTACAAACTTTACTCATTTTTTCTGCTTCCAAAAGCAGAGAAAAATAATTAGTTTTTATATGAAAACAGGGGAAAGTTTTGATCAGTTTGAACTGACTGATAGCTTCAGATGTTAAAGTTAAAGCACGTCTGGGGTTTCCTGCAAATGTAGCGACTGAAAATATAATTTCAGGGACACATTTCCCACTTGAAACATGTAATTATCAGGACGGTCTGCAGAAGACCGCAATTAAATGTAGAGAGGAGAAAAATCAGTCAGGGAAGGGGGGTGGGTGGGGGGGTAATTAGCATTTTCCATGACCATCTGGCATCGGCGCAGGCGACTGGGAACAAAGGCGAGCTGGATGGAGAGGAGAGGCGAGTGTGCCATCGCATTGACCTGCAAATGAGGCTTTGTCACAGAGTTAAAGCTCCCTGACCCCCCCTTTCTTACCCCTCCCAGCTCATCTAAAAACGAAATGACAATAAAAAAAGAACTACATCAGATTTTATTTTTTTGAGTGACGCAGAAGGAAGTTGAATCCAGGTCTGACTGAGCTTTGGAGCAGCAGGAGATCAAGCAATGTGCTGCAGATTATTTAGATGTAGAACCAGGAGTCTGCTTAGTTTTATATATATTTACACATTTTAATTGGCCATTCTGACATTTATCAGTTTGACTGAAAATGTATTTATAATATCTGAAAAACATAAGTATACAGTAACAATCTGGAGATCTGAAATTAATTTCTAGACATCCAGGATGTTTATTCTAGATGTGAAGAACGGTTAAATGGTCATTTTGACAAGGAAAAAAAAGTTTTTTCTTTTTTAGATATCAGGAATAGATATTCAGTCAAACTAATACATATCGAAACAGCTTGCCATAGACTGTTGTTACTGTGAAAATATTACAGGATTATTTCCTGTATGGTAATAGATCACTGTATCTATTTAGGTGAAATCATCAGCAGGTGAAAATGAAGAATAAAAAGTATTTCTAATAAATAGAACCTGTTCATCATCTCATGGGTTCCTCCTCATGTTGATTCTTTTACGCAGTAAATCAGTGGCTGTTTGCAGCCGCGCTTCGGATGTTATCATCCCAATAAATGGTGATTATAAGCGGCTATCAGTCCCATAGAATGGCTTCAGATTGGGCCAGTAGGTTGTTTCATCATCGCCATATTAAACAAACCAAAAACAAATAAATCTCATTTCCTGTCACTGAGTTGTAGAATCCTCTCCCTATAAATATTTTATTTTATTATATTATTATTTGTTTTCAACCTTAATGTTTGTAACTGACCCAGTAAATTATGTTATTTTTATGTACAAAACTACAACATAAATGTGACTAAATTAGGAAATCAATCAGTGTGATTGGATGTAAGGAGAGCGGAGACAGATGACACTCTACTGAAGAAAACCTGCTGCTGACCAGCTTAGCTCTGAGAGGATGTTACCATGGCAACAGAAACAGGTTGAATAAACTCTTTGAGAAACGAAAAAGTCAGTTTCCCTGATTTCAGGATTAGAAAACTTTTCAGTAAACCTGCTTCATCAAACAGAAACCAGGTGTAAAAACCAAACAAACAAAAACCAGAAATGAATGAATGAACTGACCTTCTGTGTTTTATAGCGTCCTGCAAGCAGGGAGCCGATAACCAGTAAAACCATCCTAAGGCTTAATGGTTATTCAAGCACTAATTATTCTGCTAAAGCTTTAAGTATAGAAAAAACAGTAAATTAATGTAGAAAGCGAAGTAAAGTGTAAACTAAGCCCAAAGTAATCTTGACTTAATCCTGCTGGAGGTTTACATGTCGCTCCGTGTGGCGGTGGGGGGGGGGGGACACCTGTCTCCTTCTGAATGGGATCAGATTGCAAAAGAACAAGAGATGAGGAAACTTTTTAGGAATAACAAAATAAATCAAGTATAAATCTGTGGGATTATTTAAGAAGTTTGAACTATTTTTATGAGCTACTTATTTAAAATGTATTCTTAGAGTAAAACTGCAAATTTGGTAAATAAAGATGAATAGCAGAAGCTAACATCTATTAGCAACAGTAAGACTCAACCTGTTCCTGGTAATTATGGTCAAACAGCAAAGCATCATACTGAGTGAAATTTATCCCAAACGGAGCAAAAAACACCATAAACACAAAGTTCAGTATCTATTAAAAAAAGTCTACAAATAAAATGTATAAATGTATAAACCTTAAAAGATGGGAAGGTTCCAACATTATAAATATATAAACGATGATAATAAAGAGTTTCCTATAAAATCGCAGAGTAAAGGATTTAAAGCAGAGAATCTGGAGGTCAGGTAACTTTTCCTTTTTGCCACCAGAAGCAGACGAACCGTCGCTTTCTCCTCTTTTCTCTCGCTTTGGCTTTTTTCTCTTTACATCCACTCAGTATTCATGCCTGCGGATAACAAAGAGCTCGGCTCAGTCCGCGCAGGGGGGGGGCTGACAGGGAACTCGTGGCAGCTTTTCAAATATCTT